CCCCCACCCCCATTGCCCCACACTCACTGAACTGCAGCGGCTCCAGCACCTTCGTCACATAGGCCCGGAAGCCACTCTGGTCTTCCTCCCTCAGCACCTGCACCTCGTACCCTGGGGGAGAAGAGTGGGGAGCAGGGGTCAAGGTCAGGGATCGGGACTAGGACTACCCCACTGGTTTAGGCTTAGGCAGGAGTTAGTGGGGGGGGGCTTCTGGGAATTGGAGAAGGGCACAAAAAGATGTTGGGTGGGGGGGGCAGGATGGGGGAGGGGAGATGGGGGGGCCTCAGGGAGCCATAAATATACGGCTCTGAAGGAACTGCCATTGTTCCCTTCCCCACTTGCCCCAGCCACATGCAGCTGCCACCGCCTGCCCATCAGGGCTGATCCAGCCTCTCCTGAAATGCAGGAGAGAGGAAGGGGCTGGATCATGGGGCAAGGAGCATACTTGGGTGTGATCTGGGGTGGAGGGGTGCAGCTGGGGGTGTCAGGGTGTATGGAGGAGTTGGGGACCCCTGGAGTGGAACCAGCAAGCATAAAACCACCACAGTGTCAGTAAAAAAAATATGTCTGGCAGTAAAAAAAGCAATGTCTTGAATTGTTGACCTTGGGGGTGGGAGGGGCACAGAGACCATGGGGAGAGGGTCTCTAGGACATCCCTGGTGTGTGTGGGGGTGGGGCAGGTATTGGAGGTCAAGGGTTCCCTCCAGGCCTCACCCCACTCCCCTCCCGGCACCCCTCAGGGGTCCAATCTCACCATACTGCACCCGGGGGCTGTAGCAGGCAAACTCAGTGCGTTCAGCCTCTGTCACTTTGTCATCCAACGTTCGCTTCTTCCGGGAGCAGGCACCTGGTAGGGAGAGGGAGAAAGGGATCAGGACACCTGGGTTCTCTGCCCACTCCAGGAGGAGTTAGGGCTCATGGGGTTGGAGTAGAGGGGGTCAGGCTGCCTGGGTTCCCTCCCCTCTGTGGGAGGGAAATGAGGGTTGGGGAGTTACCGCAGGGAGCCCAGACACCTGGGTTCTCTCCCCGTTGTGAGAGGGGAATGGGGACTAGGGTGATTAGAACAGGAAAGGGGGTACAGAGAGCCCAGACACTTGGGTCTCCTCACCTTCGGCACACTGGCAGACATCATTAGAGCAGAGGGCTGAGATGAACTTGCTCCTACTGGGGGCGTTGTAGAACACGCTGCACTGCCGGCCTGGGGGCAAGAAGTGGGGGGATGGGCTGGTCTCTGGGGCAGCTCCTCTTCCATCCAGCTTTCCCTGACCCCCCCACCACCCGGGAGGCCCACTACCCAAGCTCTCCCAGACCCCATCTGCCTGTCCCCCTTCACCCCTGCCCCACTACAGCCCCCACCTGGCTCATAGAAGTCATAGAGGGTGGCGGCCGCAGGCTGGAGCATCCCCACAGGCACCGTCTGCTGTGCCCGGAACCCCACGCAGTCTCGGGCCTTGGGCACCTGGAAGTAGAGGGGTGAACACAGGGTTGGGGGGAGAGCCTCATGACTGACATGGAGGCCCCCAGAGCACATGCCTACTACCAAAGAACCCAGATGTAAAGAGATGCTCCCACCTACTGCCAAAGGACCCAGGTGCTCAGGGAAGCCCACACCTATTGGCAGAGGTCCTAGGCATCTGGAAACGCCCATGCTCTTACTGGCAGAACACCCAAATGTGTCTGGAAAGCCCACACTGACTGCCAGAGGCCCTAGGCATCCAGGGTGCATGCGAACACTATGTTTATCTCATGCTTAAGGCACTAATTCTGTGATACATTGTGGCATGTTCAAGCCATTACCCCTGGAAAACAAGCCACCGAAATGGGGATCCAGCCTCGAAGACGTTAGTTGTGAAACAAGGGAAAGGTCTGCAGCTCCTTCATATCACACTTTAGGTGGGAGCAAGGCATGCTACAACCAGACAGACAACACCCCCAAGATGCTCCTATGCCCATTCTGCCCCCCAAACCCTCCCCCATGCCCCTGAAGCTCCCCAACACCTTTGCCCCTCCACAACTCTAACCACAGCTGCCCTTTCCCCTGCTCACCGTCTCGAAATAGAGCAGGAGCCGCTGCCCCTGCACCTCATAGTGGCTGATGTAGCGGTCAACCAGGTCTTTCAGCTGTGGGGATGGACAGATATACAGATGACTCGTGGAAGAACAGACATGCCTGTTCTTCTCCCCCATGAGGAGAGGAGGTAGGGGTCCCCCAGGGGCTGAGCAGAAGTGCAGTGGGTGGGAGGGGACAGGAAAGGATCAGGGCCCCGACCTTGTCCAGATCAGCCGTGTGGGGCTGGAAGCCACTGAGCAGGGTGATGTCAGCAATGGCCATGCCTGAGATCGGGACCCCTGACTTCCTCCTGCAATGTGGGGTAGAAAGGCAGAGTGAGAACATGGCAGGAAGTCCTGCCCCCCACACCCCTGAGGAAGCTACAGGAAGTCCAACCTCCTCCCCAATAGACCAAAGAAGTAACAAGAAGTCCCCTTTCACCCCAGCACAGGCCATGGAAGGAATAAGGGGACTGTGGCTGGGAGCTGCATCTGCCAATGGGGTGAGATAGTAGCTAGAAGACCCATCCCCAGAGCATGCGCACAACAGGAAATACCGCTCCCCAGCAGAAGTCCTGTATCCGAGAGAGGCAGGCAGAAGGAAGTCCCACCCCCTAGGGCAGTGTAAAACAGGAAGTCCCACCCCTGGAGCACATGCAAAGCAAGAAGTCCCGCCTCGAAGAGAGAAAAGGAAGTCCCACCCCTAGGTACAGAGCTGGGGCAGGAATTCCCCACCAACACCACCAAGTAGAGGGACCTCACTGGATGCATATCGTGTAGTGAACCTCCTTCTCCCTTTGACTGCGGTCGGCTGCGTCTCTCCGGCGCCGGCGCCGGGCATCAAACCAGTGGATAGCGTGGAGGGGGGCATCAGCTGCCGGGGCTTCATCCCCATAGTCATAGTTATAGTCCCCCATATCTGTTGAGGGGTGGGGAGAGATACTGTGACATCAGCCAACTGCCCTCCAAAAAACCCTGGAGGAGCCTTGCCCCTTAAAGGCATGGTTGAAACAAAATGATGTCATAACAGCAGGGATGGGGGTGGAGCCTACCACAGCTTGCAAAACCCCACCTTCTCAGAAAGGCGGCGGTGAAATGGGACAGACAAAAAGGCACTCATTTCCCTTTAAGAGAGGTGTCATAACATCACAGGGGCTGGGGCCATCCTCAAAGCCCCTCCCACCTCGATTTTCAAAGGGGGGGGCAAGCCTGATGACATCACTAAGCTAAGCACCCCAGCCTTGAGGTTCTTAAGGAGGCAGGGCCCTGGCGGCATGACATGGTATTGGCGGGCTGGCAAGGACGCACCCTCGTAGTCGATGGCACCGGTCACAGTGACGTCCAGCTCCAGGCTCTGGCATGATGTGTTCCGCAGGTCCAAGACGCTGTACTGCTTTAGCACCTGCGGTGGGAGCAGGAGAAGAGAACACATGTCTGGGGCCCCCAGGTCCCTTCCAATCTACCCCATCATGCCCCACTCCTGTACCAGAATGAGGAGAGTGTCCAGGCTCCCATGCTCCTCTGCTTTCACCCCCCTACGTCCAGCTCCAGGCTCTGGCATGATGTGTTCCGCAGGTCCAAGACGCTGTACTGCTTTAGCACCTGCGGTGGGAGCAGGAGAAGAGAACACATGTCTGGGGCCCCCAGGTCCCTTCCAATCTACCCCATCATGCCCCACTCCTGTACCAGAATGAGGAGAGTGTCCAGGCTCCCATGCTCCTCTGCTTTCACCCCCCTCCCCTCCCCCCCCCACCCCACTCCCCTCCTAGACAAGT